GGTGAATCACCATGTCTGGCCAAAATATACATTTTTAAAGAAGTAATTTTATGGTTACACTTAGCTAGATTTTCCATAAAATATACATTTTTAAAGAAGTAACTTATGGTTGAGGATGACACCTCTGACACATCCTTCTTTTAGTGGCTCACAAAAAGTAACTTCTACTGAATTTCATTGTCGAAACGCAAACTTGCAAATATCACAAGCTGAAACATGTTAGAAACGTCTGTACTTACACCCGACTGTACTCAGACCTCCCACACTGTGTGATTTGTTGTAATATTGGTGGCCTCACATCTCTAGCCCAATTTTCTTTGAGTCTTCCCATGGATTTGCTAACAAAACAATGCATTTCAATTGGTTGCCAATTTTTTCTATTTGCTATTTTAACCAGTTTTCCTGTGGGAGGAAGAAGGAGTGTTTTCCCAGTGGTATGTTTCTTTTTAAACTCTGTATTAAACAAGGAATTGCAAAACAGGCTGCTAAACTTATTACGTTTAGCAAAGTTTTTGTAAAATGCTGTATTGAGGATCACATGATTTTGAACATACAATTGATAATATTTGAAGTATAATATATGCTTTGCTTGAGGTTCAGTGATAAAAGATGTTAATGATTCAATTATTGTTCTTGATAATTTTAATTATTTTTCGATAACTTTTTGCCACATCTTTTTTAGCTTGTTACGTGGCTGATGATGAACTTGCAATAAAAGCGGAGATGTCAGCTTTGCCATTTTCTCGTGGCTTGCTTGTGCTTGCATTGTCTGCATTATCTTTAATCCAGTTTCTTGGGCAGGAAAATTTTAAATTTGTATAATTTGTATAGTTTATTTATTCAGAGATAGGGTCTCGCTCTGCCTCTCAGGCTGGAGTGCGGAGCCATGATCATGGCGTACTGCAGCCTTGATCTCGTGGGTTCAAGCACTCCCCCTGCCTCAGCCTGCCTGTAGCTGGGACTACAGGTGCTCACCACCACGCCTGGTTAAATTTTCTTTTTTATGTTGCCCAGGCTGGCCTCAAACTCATGGCTTCAAGCAGTCCTCCTACCTCAGCCTACGGAGTTGCAGGGATTACTGGTGTGAGCCTCTGCATCTGATAAATGCACCCTTTTAAAGTATACAATTCAGCAGTTTTCAGTGTAGTCACAGAATTGCACAACCATCACCGCTATCTAATTCCATTACCCCCGCCCCTCCCAGAAAAAGCCCGTATCCATTAGCAGTCACTCCCATTTCTCCTTCCCCCTAGCCCCGGCAACCCCTAATCTGCTTTCTGTCCCCCTGGATTTCCTATCCTGGACATTTCAAGTAGATGGAGTCAATATGTGATCTTTTGTGTCCGGTTTCTAAATTATATTTTTAAAGTTGTAGGTTTTTAAAATTTTAGGTTGAAATAAGCCCAGAAGTCCCAATTACCCCCACTCCCTGGGGTCCTTCTGCACAGTCCCCTGGGCTGTGTGCACCAACCGTGGAGACCTCTTTGCCCTAGTTACAGTACAGCACTAATGCCTGCACCAGCAGACTTGATTTCTACAGGATCTAGTTACCTTGGCTCAGAGGAAAATTTGTTCTGAATAAGAAATAAGCAAATCCTTGCTTTGGAGATTGCTGCTGTTGGCCTGAATAGCAACAGTACTTCAGAGAACCTCGCAATACCTGACTCGTCACACCCTATTGGAACATTCCACGGCACAGCGCACAGTCCATTTTCACGGCATTGTCTTCGTGCAAGGAGAACAGAACATTAGTTATTCAGGAAGTCTGCAAAAATATAAAACACATACCACCAACAAGCCAATATGCTCACATAAAATATACTTCTCAGGATTTAGGAGTAAATTCTGGTAGGCTAGACTATTTAAGATAGATACTCAAAGAAGGCATAAAACTGCTCTCTGAAATTAT